AGCCCTTTATAGTCATTATCTTACTTCATCCTTTGTATTATTATCCCCATTTCACAGATAAGGAAATGAAAGCTTAGAGAACTTGCTCAAGATCTCCTTCCTAGTTATTAGTGGCAGAGCCAGAGATTTGAACCCAGTTATTGTTTTACATACTATGTACCCTTAGGTACTATACTACTCTCCTATGCTGTTATTTCAAAAAGTAAAAAAAAAAAAAGTAAATTTAAAATAAAGTAATTTGGTTTAAATATAGGAACTCTAAGACTCTAGAAAATATTTCTGGGCAGTAGACAATTTGGGTATCCTTTTATTCTTCACATTTCAAAAAGAAAACAGAGGTTCTTTGTGTTTTGATTCTGGCTTACAGATAAAAAGCACATGTTGTGCCACAACTCTTATGCCTTGTCAGCCCTTTCCTTTGTCATCGCCGATGCCTCTGGGGTGTGCACAATCTAATTTATGCTTCAGCTTTATGACTTGAACTGTTGTACAATATAGGTATCTGTAATTCCTGTATTATTGGTGTCAGTGTTTGTTGAGAAATTCTAGAGGACAGGGAGCGCGTGAGATTAAATTGTTTTGCGTGGTGCTCAGAAAGTGCCAGGGCTGAAGGGAATACTTCTGCCAGGCTTGATCTCTGTGACTTCTCAACTGCTTTGGCTCTCTGAAACACCCTCCCCCCATTTAAAAAAGTAACATTTTATCTCTTATTGCAAAAGTGATACATACTGATTTGAGAAAATGGGTCAAAAATACCATGAAAAAACAGTTGCCTCTAGTCCCAGAAATAATTGCTATTAATCTTTGATGTATTTTTCTGTGCATATATGCATATATACAAATATAAATATATGTGTGTTGTGTTGTTTATACTGCTTTTCAACTTGCTTTTTCACATTGTATTACTTTTACTTTTTAAAATAATAGCATTATTGAGATATAATTCATGTACCATAAAATTTACCCTTTTAATATGTACAATTCATTGGCTTTCACAGAATTGTGCAACCATCATCATTGTCTTAATTCCAGAACATTTTCAGCACCTCAACAAGAAACCCTGTACCCATTAATACTCCCTCATTCCCCCTTCCCTTTAGCTGCTAGCAACCACTGATCTACTTTCTGTCAATGGATTTGCCTGTCCCGGACACTTCATATAAATGGAATCATACAATATATGGTCTTGTGGTGGCTTCTTTCACTTAGCATTTGTTTTCAAAGTTCATCCATGTTATAGCATGTGTCAGTACTTCATTCCTGTTAGGACCAAATAGTATTTCATTGTATGGATTTCACATTTTGTTTATCCACTGATAGGTGACAGACATTTGAATTACTTCCCTTTTTGGCTATCCTATCTAATAAAAGAGTAATATGCAAATTGACCATCACTCCAACACACAAGATGGCCACCCCATGTGGACACAAGATGGCCGGCAGGGGAGGGCAGTTGGAGGGGACCAGGCTGGCAGGGGAGGGCAGTTGGGGGAGACCAGGCTGGCAGGGGAGGGCAGTTGGGGGTGATCAGGCAGCAGGCAGAGAGAGAGAAACATCAATGTGAGAGACATATTGATTGGTTGCCTCCCACACACGTTCCAACTGGGGGTGAGGATCAAATCTCCAACCTAGGTATATGCCCTTAACTGGGAATCAAACCTGAGACCCTTCGGTGAGCAGGCCAACGCTCTAACCATCAAGCAACACTGGCCAGGGCCTTTTGATTATAACCATCCTGGCGGGTATAAGATGGCATCTCATTGTGGTTTTGATTTTCATTTTTCTAATGCTTATGCAAGGGGTCCTCAAACTACGGCCCGCAGGCCACATGCAAATACAAATATTGTATTTGTTCCCGTTTTGTTTTTTTACTTCAAAATAAGATATGTGCAGTGTGCATAGGAATTTGTTCATAGTTTTTTTTTAAACTATAGTCCGGCCCTCCGGACTGAGGGACAGTGAACTGGCCCCCTGTTTAAAAAGTTTGAGGACCCCTGGCTTATGATGTTGAGCATCTTTTCATGTGCTATTCACCTTTCATATGTCTTTGGAGGAGTGTTTCTTCAAGGCCTTTGCCCATTTTAAAATTGGGTTATTTGTCTTTTTCTTGTTGAATTGTTAAGAGGTTTTAATATATCCTGGATACAAGCCCCTTGTCAGATACATGATTTGCAAATATTTTCTCCCATTCTGCGGATTTTGTTGTTGTTGTTAATTCTCACCTGAGGATATTTTCCCATTGATTTTAGAGAGAGTGGAAGGGAGGAGGAGAGACAGAGAGAGAGAAACATCTCACATCGATGGGCTGCCTCCCACACAGGGATCCAGCCGGCAACCAAAGTACATGTCCCTGACTGGAATCGAACCGGGGACCCTTCAGTCCGTGGGTTGACGCTCTATTCACTGAGCCAAACTGGCTAAGGTTTTTTCTTCTTCACTTTTTGATGGTGTTGTTTGAAATACAAAAGTTCAATTTTGATGAAGTCCCAATTTATCTACTTTTTCTTTTATTCTTTATACTTTTGCTCATGTCTAAGAAACCGTTGCCTTATCCAAGGTCACAAAGATGTGCTCCTATATGTATATTTTTTAACTGAAATAGTTGACAATTTCATTTTCACATCTCACAATACAAATGAGAATTGCTCCTTTTGGTCCCATACTCCCCTCTCTTAGATGGGGGTGCCTTTTCCTCATCTGATGTTAGAAAACACCCAGAGTCACCACGATCTCCCGTGGAGTAGGACAAGTAAGAGAAACCGATAGAAAGAGGCTCCCTCGCTCCTTATCTGTCTGGTCGAGTCATTCCGGGCCGAGCGGGCGCCATCATGGGACGGGTGGGAGGTCTCATCTCATCCTTGGGGGCCCAGGCATCCTTGGCATGTGCTCTCCCCTGGGCGGCCTCGTTCCAGGAGCAGGTCCCACTGGCACCGTCCCAGGAGGAGGCATCATGGAAGGGCCCCCCCATGTGGGGTGCTGGCGTCATACGAGGGCGGGGTGGACCCGAGGCTGTGGGGAGGTGGGAACGTCACCCCTGCAGGAGGAGGAGCAGGGCGGAGTAGGCGGTGTCTAGCTTCCCTTGCTGAAATGCTGCGGTTGTTTTGTCAGTCAGGCTCTGAGCCTGCTCTTCCATCCATTTCTGAGAGGTTTTCACACTCTCTTTGTTTCCGACCACGGCGGGGTCTTTCTCCCAGATGGGCAGTTGTGAGTGAGGTATGTGTCGCAGGAGTCACAATAGAACATAAGCATGATGTTCTGCAGGCCCTTGGCCACGCCGTGACTGCGTCGCTGGAAATGACGCACACAGCCAGTCAGTGCCAACCGACTCCTGTATTTTAGCCTGTGTTTAATCTCTTACATTTTGTGTCTGTGATCTGCTTAAATATTTCCATGAAACATTAAATATTTCCATGAAACATTTTTCTTTCTTAGAAGTGGAATTCCTAAGTCAAATATTATATATTTTTGAGACTTTTGATACTTTTGTCCCAAAATTGTCGTGACTCTCTTCTCCCTGTCATTTCCCTCCCCGTCCTACCTGTCTCCCGCTGCTCTGGTTGGGGTCTTTGCCATCTCTTGCCTTGTGTGATACAGTAGTCTCCCGCCTGGGCACTTTCCGGGCAGTGATGAGTGCCGTGGCTGGTGATGATGGGTGCTGTGACAGTGCAGAGGAGGCCCTCGAACCCCGTCTGGTGATTTGGGATGGGGGGTGAGAAGGGGTGGGGAGGGCATCAAGGGGGCTTCCTGGAGGTGAAGTGAGCTGACTCAGAAGGTGGAGTGGGCATTGGCAAAGCGTAAACACGGAGCATCAGCATCAGCCGGGGAGTAAGGCGCTTATGGGGTCCTGGAGGTGGAGGCAGTGTGGTGCGGCGGCTCTGCCCCTTCCTGGCGGCGTGTTCCTGCAGAGGGACTTACTGCCCTCTCTGTGCTTCAGTTTTCTCACCTGTAAAGGGAGACGGTAGCCAACAGTAGTAGCTGACTCCTGGGATGGTTGCGGGACCAAATGAGGCAGCAAATGTTGAGGTTCTGGCTGGTGTGACCAGTGCCCTGAGGAGGAGCAGGTGGAGCAGGCCAGTGTTGGGCCTGTTGATGTACAGAGGCAGCTGCATGTACAGGTTTGGAGCTGAGCCATATAAATTGGTTAAGATGGGGCCTTGGGGTTTGGCTGAGAAAGTGGTTATAAGCCGGTCTCTAGGCCACTTGGGTTTGGGTTCCAGCTTCACTGCTTAGTTGTGTCATTTTGAGCAGGTTGTTTACTATCTCCGTGGCTTAGTTTTTCATCTGTAAAATGAGAATAATAACAGTTTCTTGTTCACAGGATTGTTGTGAAGACAAAGTGAGTTGATAGGTAAAGTGCTTAGAATACTGCCTGACACATAATGCTCTTTTTGCTGTTATTGTTTTTCTCTGTAATGGGAAAGAGGGGGAGGGTAGGCGCTGGAAGGAAATGTGGACTTCAGAGAGTTTTATGGTTTAGGAGCAAGGTGGGCCATGGTAAGCCTTGGTGTATATGCAGGAGGCTGAGCCAGTGCCTGTCTTCAGGGCTGAGGGGAGTGTCAGCAGGGGGAGGGGAGAGGAACAGGGGGAGGGGCTGGAGATGTCAGCAGGGGGAAGGGAGAGGAACAGGGGGAGGGGCTGGAGATGTCAGCAGGGGGAGGGGAGAGGAGCAGGGGCTTTCATGAGAGTGTAGGAATCATGATCCCGATGTGGCCATAAATAACAATAGCCGTCCTCGTTACTTTTATGGCTGGAAAGGGCAGTTGGTAACAAGGAGAATGCCAGCTCTTTCTCCTTGGATCCATCCTTCACTTCCCAGCCGCGTGTGCCTTCAGCACGAGTGCCTGAATGTGCCAGCTACAGTGCTGGGCGCTGGGGGTGTGGTGCTGAACACGACATACCCAGTTCCTGCCTTCACGGAGCCTGCGGGCTAAGACATTAAACAAATAAGTGTGCAAGTCGTTAATCAGTACAGATTGGATCATGCTGTTCCCCAGTTCCGGGATCTTCACTCGTTCGCTACTGCTGTGGAATAAAATCCGGACTCCTCAGCATGGCGTGAAGGCCCTGCAGGATTGGGGCCAGTCCCACTCGCGGCAGCTCTCCTGACCATTGGTGCTGCTCCCTCACCGAGGAGCTCGCCCCCAGGACTGCTTGCTGTGCCCCAGGCCAACTGTAACGTCTCCATAGCCCCTGCCCCCTCTGTACCTGGCATGCTCCCGCTAGTCCTCAAGGCCGGAACAGCAAATGCGTCTTCCTTTGGGAGGCCTTTCCTGGTCACGGTCACTCTCAGCCATCCTCCCAGAGCACCTTGGACTTTCTGGATTATAGCGCTTCATGTATAGAGTCAAAAGGAGCCGCATGTCTCTAGGGGAGGAGGTCATGCCAAAGGCTCTGAGGTAAGAGTGGGCACAGGAAGTAGGGCACGGGGAGGAGAATGTGTTGGGGAGTGGGAGGTGTCCACAGGTGCAGAGTACCTGTGGCTCAGCAGGCAGCCTTGAATGCCTGGCAGGAGTGGAGGGACCGGTCTCCCCCCTTTAGGAACATGACAGAAAGCTTGGGCTCTGGGAGTAGGCAGTGTATTCACGGAGTTCATAAGCTGAGTTTCTTCATGGAGATGCGTATCTGGGGAAGAGCCATTCCTTTGTGAGTTGGTGAAGCCAGGGTGCCAGTACAGCCTGCAGTGGAGCAAATGGAGTTAGAAATCCGGCCATTGGAGAAGGGGCAAGTCCGAGGCCCAGCAGAAGCTGTCTGAGCCTTCCCCTACTGGGAATGCGCCATCACTGCTGGTTGGGTGGCCGTAACTTTGGGCGGCTGCCAGGGCATGTGACTTCCCTTGGCTGCCTTCTCTACTTGAGATAAATTCCAAAGCCCTTTGCTGGTGTCTTGGTGGTGGCCCATGGAGGGGACCCTCTAGGCTGGGGAGGGGAGCCGATGCTCAGAAGCTCACAGAAGTAAGGAGCCTCCCTGGGGGGGTGTCAGGAACCCAGCTGCTGGGTCTCGGAGATTCAAAGGCAGATCCGAACCAGAGCTGCCCTGGCAGAGGTCGGGGGGACACCAGGCCCAGGAAGGAGTGAGAATATTTAGAGTGGCCCGAGCTGGAGCTGTGGGAGGGCTGGCAGGCGTCAGCAAGGGACCGAGGTGCTGGCAGCTCCTGCTGCAGGCTGAGTTGCAGCCCAGCCCGGGATCCCCGTGGGTGCAGGCAGTTAATCTCCGAAGGCTGGAGTCACCACTGCTGCAGAGCAGGAACATTGAACTTTTCAATCACTTTAATTTCCACAGGAAATTGTTGTCTTCCTTTTGTCCAAAGGTTAGTGATTTATATTTACCATCCTCTTAACTAGCCTTGAAATTTACTGTTGCCAGGTCACCACTGGCCTCCATAAATCTCAGGGTGGCAGCTGAACATAGCCAAGTGGCTTGATCCTTGGAAGGGCACAGCCCAGTCCTTGCGGGAGGGCAGATAACTAGCAGTCCCTGCACAGAAGTCCCCCTGAGGAGGTGGCACTCCCTCGGCAGGGGAAACGAGATGGGTTCTAACAAGGCAGCAGGGAGGCCTCTACAGTAGCAGATACAGAGCAGACAGCTGGCTTGTGCCTCACACATCACTGGTGGAGGCATGCTTCTAGTTATGGACAGAGCTGGTGGATGGGGAGCAGGGGCCTGTGTGACCTTAGGCAAGTCACCTAACCACTCTGTGTCTCAATTTACATCTGTAATAATATTCCTCTTAGCGTTGTTATGAGGTTAAACCACATTAAATATCAGCTAATATTCTCTGGCAAGACAGGGAGGTAGTTTGGAATGGGCCTCGGAGTCGGTCTGCTCCCCCTCTCTGCTTACACTGTGCCACCATTTCTCTTTTTAAGACCCTCTTCTTCCATCTGTTTGTGTAATTAGGACAGCGGCTGGTAAACTTTTTTTGTAAAGAGCCAACACGTATTTTACGCTCTGTGAACCATAGGGTCTTTGTTGCAACTACTCAGCTCTGTTGTGTTATCCTGAAAACAGCCATACACAAGAAGTAAAATGAGTGTGGCTGTGTTCCAATAAAACTTTATTTGTGGACACTCAAATTTATATTTCTTACAATTTTCATGTGTCACAAAATATTCCTCTTCTTTTGATTTTTTAAAACCATTTTAAAATGTAAAAAGTATTTTTAGCTCATAGATCATACAAAAACAGACCATGGCTGGCTTTGGCCTATGGCTTGTAGTTTGCCGGCCCCTGGATTAGAAGGTGAAGTTGCATGGAGAAAGTGTTCACTTTTCTCACCTGGGCTGTGTCTTTGAGTCACTAAAGAAAGCCTCAGGTGGGTTTTTCCAATGACCCTGTAGTGCTGCCTCCTGAGGGGCCACCTGAAGCAGCGGGCATGGGCCTACTACCTTCCGTTCCCTGCCTGCAGCCAGAGTGGTGCTGACTCTGGATTGGCCAGTCACTCCCACCTCCACTCCAGTACTGATAGTAACCTGTCTGTTTCAGAGAACAGCCCCAGCCAAGGTGGGAAGGAGGCGGGGACTCGACAGCCTTTGGTGATTCTCTTGGGCTGGGGTGGCTGCACAGACAAGAACCTTGCCAAGTACAGCGCCATCTACCACAAAAGGGTGAGTACTGCAGGCTGCGGACACGCTTGCTGGGGCCCTGCTCTGGGCTGCAGCGAAGGTAGGAACAGGCCTGAGGAGGATGCTGGGGTCATGGGTCTTTGGTAGGGTTATCCCCGCTTTGCTGCCAGCTTTGTGGCCTGGTCTGTCTCCTTCATCCCCCTGACCTGCTTCCCCTTCCTTCCTTCCTCCCCATCCCCCGCAGTGGACAGCCCAGCCCTGATGTGCTCCCGGTAGTGGAGTTGCCCAGACCCCAAGTTTCTGTTGGTTGGTACTGCCTATCTGGGCCAGTGTGCTGGGCATAATGTGTTGCAGTGTCAGGACCTTGGAGGTGGTGGTGCCAGTGGAGGGAAGTTGATGGATCAAGGAGCTTGTTAGGAGGTGGAATGGTAGATTAGTGAGCAATTGGGTGTGGGCACAGGGAGAGGGAGGGCCCAGGGTAATGCCAGGGTTTTGGCTGCGGCAGTTCCTGAGTAGAGGGCGGGGTTTTTTGAGACAAGGAACCCTGAGGAGAAGCCATAGGTCCTGGGTGGATGAGCTTCCCCCAGGGAGTATGTAGAGGGCAAGGAGAAAGGGCCTAAGACAGCTCTGAGGAGCCCAGAGTTAAAGGAGTGGAAGATGGAGAAGGCCCTACGAGGAGAGGAGGGGTGGCCAAAGAGGGACAAGAAAACCCAGGAAAGTTTGGGAATCCACAGAATCTCTGGGAAACGGCCACTATAGAGGTGAGAGGAAAAATGTTATTGAGGCAGAGGAACGGGGAGACAGAGAAGGGGCAAAGCTGGGGAAGGCAGAGGGCTGAGGTGGCAGGGCCAGTGGAGGGGTCTTCTGGGAAAGGAAGGGGTCCCTTTACCCGGTAGTTGGGAGAACAGGATGGGTTTGGAGAAAAATGTTTCTCAACTCCAAACTCCTAATACTTTATTATTTAAAAGAAAATAAAAACACCATATTCTACCGCCTAGCAATTACCTTTGTTTACACGTTAGTATATATCCTTTCAGCTTTTCTCTCTGTGTCGGTTTCTTTTCTTTACCTAAATGAGATCTATTGACTATACTATTTTACAGCCTGCTTTTTTTCAGATTTTGATCTCCACCTTCTCAGGTTAATAAATTTTCATCTCATCTAGTTTCCAGTCTACATTCAGATTCTCTAGTAGTCCCCAAAGTGTCCTTTATAGCTGATTTGCCCAAATCAGAATCTAATTGAGGATTACCCATTGCATCTAATTCCTTGACCTTTTAAATCTAGAACAGTTTTCATGATAACAACTTATTGAAGAGCCTGGGCTACCAAAGAATATATCTAGGAGTGTGTGTGATCCCAAATGCTGCTGGAAGGGAAGTATGAGAGGACTGAAAGCCGTCATGGGTTCCAGTGGTCGGCAAACTCATTAGTCAACAGAGCCAAATATCAACAGTACAACGATTGAAATTTCTTTTGAGAGCCAATTTTTTTCAACTTAAACTAGCTAGGTAGGTACATTGTTATTAACTTAATTAGGGCACTCCTAAGGCTTAGGAAGAGCCACACTCAAGGGGCCGAAGAGCCGCATGTGGCTCGCGAGCCGCAGTTTGCCGACCACGGGGTTAGACCATTTGGGAGAATATGATGACCTTCACAAGAGCAGGGCAGTCGTCATATTGGAGCCAGTGGAAGGGATGCGGTGGAGAGGAGGGTGGCTGTCAGAATTTTTTTTTTTTTTTTTAAATGAGATTAGTCTGTGCAGGAATCTAGGGAGAGGAAGAGACTGAAATACAGGAGAGAGTGGTGAGGAGTGACAGAGCAGGGCCTTGTCCTGGGACCGAGCATGTGCAGAGATGGAAAGATGGTTGGCTTTGGGGGAGAGAGAAGAGACTGGGATCTGACATGCAGCGGGACCCAGGTCCTTGGTGCAGGGACTTGCACGAGCATCAGACTGGGGAGGTGGCAGTAGAGATGCCAGGCACCTGGGCAGCCTCCAAGTGAAGCCCAGGCCGGTGGCACAGGGAGGCTCAGTGTGTGTGGCCTTCACAGGGCGTGTTGGGAATTCCCAGGGCGAGCTGTGTGTGCAGTCACGGGTGTGGAGTGAGGGGGACGCCATGTGTGCCCTCAGAGATGGTGTTCACAGGAATGGCTGAGGTGACGTCTGAGCCGACAGGTAGTTTTCCGCACCTGAATGTTCCTGGGGAGGCGTGCGCGTGCACCATGAAGGTGTGTGCTCGCCAGTGGTGTATGTGCTTGTGGGTGTGTGTTGGCAGCTTGCTTTTTCGTGCACTCCCAGGTGCTATGGTGGGTGCACCCTAGTGAGTGGTGGGCGCCTTGGCTGTCTGCACCTGTGGGATGTGTGGTGGATGGGCTTTGTTTAGCCCGGGAGTCACGTGTGTGGTAGTGAGGTGGGATGTGCTTGCACTTGTGGGCTGGGGGTGGGTGGGAAGATATTTCACAACTTCCTGGGGAGTGAGAACAGAGCACTCTGAAATTTCCATAGCTAAGGGCCTGGTGGCATCGGGACCCCCTCCGATGCCAGGGCAGTGCCAGGAGCATTTGGGGCAGATGTCAGATTGGAGGGAGGAAGTCGAGAGTTACCTCAGCTGACCATCTCTGTTTGGCCGTGGGTCATTCAAGTAGTAGTCCTACCATCACGAATTACTGCTACTGTTAGCTGAGAATTGACTTCGTACCAGGTGCTATTTGAGGCACTTGAGATACATTTTTTCATTTAATTTTCACCATAACCCTGAGATGGATGGAAACACAGACTCAGAAAGATGAAGTCCATACTGTTAGTAAGTGGGGCCGGAAATTGAACCCAGCCCTGTCTGACCCTAGAGCAGTGGTTCTCAACCTTCTGGCCCTTTAAATACAGTTCCTCATGTGACCCAACCATAAAATTAATTTCGTTGCTACTTCATAACTGTAATGTTGCTACTGTTATGAATCGTAATGTAAATATCTGATATGCAGGATGGTCTTAGGCGACCCCTGTGAAAGGGTCGTTCGACCGCCAAAGGGGTCGCGGCCCACAGGGTGAGAACCGCTGCCCTAGAGCCTGCCTAACTCTGAGGCCCTTAACAAAGGGCCCTGAGTCTCTAGAACAAGTTAGTGAGAAGGGATTCCTTGAATGGAAAGTGAGCTTTGTGAGGAGGTGCCAGAGGGTAGGATCAGGCTGGGGCAGGGACTGTGATCTCTGTTCCAAGTAATGAGACTCAGGCCTGGAGACTTGGTCCACGTATTGAGGGGTACATCAACCTAGAGAGAGTTTGGCTCAGATTTTAGAATTTGAGGAACAGCAGCATTTACTATACATGGAATTTCAGGGCAAGTGGGAAGAGTGATACCAGGCCTTGGAACCAGGCAGATTTGAGTGCCAGGCACCTGATGCCAGAGGTATGGACTGCCCTCAGGGCTCTGTAGGAAGGTAGCAGTGGCCAGAGACTGATCTGATGTGGGTCTGGCTCACGAGTGGCCTCTGGTGGTCAAGGCTGGGGCCTGCAGGCTGTGTCTCCTGTTGGGTCTTACCGGGTACCTCCTTGTGCCTGGGAGGTGGTAGACACAGTGCAGAGGGGAGGTACAGCAACGGGGTGTAGCCAGCAGAAAGCTGAGTAGATGAGAGTGCAGGATCATAGGTGGGAGGGAGACGAAGTGGACCAGAGAGAGGAGACTTCCTTCTGGTCAGCCCAGATGTCTCCAAAGCATGCTCTGGGCTCCAGGCCTCACATACCATCCCGGGCTGAGGGGGCTTGGCCAATGTGAAGTGATTATTCTTCAACCTTCCACTCTGGAAGGCACTGTGTCTGGGAGCGGTGAGCTGGTGCCTAGCTGCAGCAGAGCCTGGAGCACTGCTAGGCTTCTGGGCTTGTGGGAGTTGGAGCTGCTGGACCCCTCTGACCTTAGCTTGTACCCACCCCACCCTATCCCTCCACAGGGCTGCATTGTGATCCGATACACAGCCCCATGGCACATGGTCTTCTTCTCCGAGTCCCTGGGCATCCCTTCACTTCGTGTTTTGGCCCAGAAGCTACTTGAGCTCCTCTTTGATTACGAGATTGAGAAGGAGCCCCTACTCTTCCACGTCTTCAGCAACGCCGGGGTCATGCTGTACCGATACGTGCTGGAGCTCCTGCAGACCCATCGGCGCTTCTGCCACCTGCGTGTGGTGGGCACCATCTTTGACAGCGGTCCTGGTGATAGCAACCTGGTGGGGGCCCTGCGGGCCCTGGCAGCCATCCTGGAGCACCGGCCTGCTGCGCTGCGCCTGCTGCTCCTGGTGGCCTTCGCCCTGGTGGCAGGCCTGTTCCATGTCCTGCTCGCTCCACTCACGGCCCTCTTCCATACCCACTTCTATGACAGGCTACTCGATGCAGCCTCTCGCTGGCCCGAGCTGTACCTGTACTCAAGGGCTGATGAAGTGGTCCTAGCCAGGGATGTGGAACGCATGGTGGAGGCCCGCCTGGCACACCGGGTCCTGGTGCGCTCTGTGGACTTTGTGTCATCTGCACATGTCAGCCACCTCCGTGACTACCCTACTTACTACACGAGCCTCTGTGTCAATTTCATGCGCAGCTGTGTCCACTGCTGAGGTCCTTGCCCCACCCACCTCACCTCTGCACCAGAAATAAATGCCTGACACCCCCTCACAACCTGTATCCATGGATGGGGTCCTCTTCTGGTTCAACTCTCGTCAGCCCTTTGGGACGTCATGGTCTCCCAAGTAGAGAATTCCTTTGGTCCCTGCCCTGGGAGACAGGTGGTCTGCTTACCCCAGGATCCTAGGCAGGGGCGGTAGTGCCTGGGCATGTCTCTGCAGGAGCCTGCAGTGTTGTACTTGGAGAAGTGTAGCAGCCAGGCTGCTGATTCTTGTGGCATTTGGTCTGTTAGGATTAACCAAGTGGAGGGTGTTGGTGGTGGTGGTGGTGGTGGTTGGGGGGGGGGGGGTGGATAATGGGCCCCAGGGTTATTCTCTGATTTCTTGAATGGAAAGTGAGCTTTGTGAGGAGGTGCCAGAGGGTAGGATTAGGCTGGGGCAAGGACTGTGATCTCTTTTCCAAGGCCCCAGAAAGGCAAAGTCCCACAGCATGAAGCACCATTTCTATGGACCTTACTTGGCAGTTCATGCAGACTTCTCTGCCCTCACTGCCAGGGAGTTGGAGGTAGAAGCCAGATGGAGAGGTGAGGAGGCAGCGATGGCCGGCCTGCCCAGGTCCACTTTTCCAGGAAGCCACTGGGTCCAGGAAAGTTGCAATGTGTGTGTGTAACAGACAGATGGAGTGGGGAGCAGAGAGAAGACAGCAGCACTGTATGGGAGCTGGGGCAGGTGAAATCAGGAGCCCTGAAGACCAGACCCAGGGCAAGGGCCATTTGGCTGAAATAACAAACTCCCTCATCTCCTTGAGGGCGTCCCACTTGGATTCTCTCGGGGCAGGAGTGGTGCCTTTAGTTTTAGAGTTCTGTATCACCTATCATGTTACAAGTCACTGCTGCACAATGCTGGTACATAGGTATTCAATAAATGTTTGTTGATTGAATGAGCTTACTGTGGTGATCAAGGGATTTGGGGGGCAGTGATGAGATCTGAAAGTCTGACAGGAAGTGAAGATAGCTGGGAAAACTGGGTGGGAGCTGAGCCCTGGTATTTTCGGGCTGATGGGCTGAGGGATTCGGGTTGTACTTGCATCTGGGACCTCCTCTGGAACTGTTGGCAGCGGAGTCCTAGGCTGTGGCTGCATTCCTAGCCATGGCCAACAGGTGGCAGTGCTGCCTGTGCCATGAGATGGAGCTCAGAAATCCTACAGCAGGGTGAGCTTCAGGCCCTCACTCTGGGTTAATGTTTCCTATTAGAGGGCATATGGCCCCCAGGGTGGGAGTAATCAGCCATCGAGGACCTACTGAGTCCCAGGCAGGGAGAGGGGAGAGTTGAGACCTGAAAGGAGCCAGCCTGATGGGAACGAGGCATTGCCCACTTGTCTTCCAAACCTTAACCATCACTGTGGCTGTTCCACTTGGACTGGCCACATGTTCCCCTAGAATCTCGGCCTCAGGGTCCTTGTGTTCAGGCTATTTGGAGCCATCAAGTTGGGCCTGGGGCTTTGAAGGGCTTCTGCTGGTCTCCATCCAGGGTGATTTGAGTGCAGGAGGCAGGAGCTGCCAACTGGACCCGATTCCATAGTATGCCCCGTGGGCACCCAGAGATTGGTGTGCCGGAGGCAGCCGATTTGGGATGGAGGGCAGACCTGGCCTGTGAGGGCTTGTAAATAGGAGTCTGGAGTTAATGGAGATACGCTGGGGTTTTATTTATTTTTTTAATATATATTTATTGATTTTTTACAGAGAGGAAGGGAGAGAGATAGAGTTAGAAACATCAATGAGAGAGAAACATCGATCAGCTGCCTCCTGCACATCTCCCACTGGGGATGTGTCCGCAACCCTGGTACATGCCCTTGACCGGAATCGAACCTGGGACCTTTCAGTCCGCAGGCCGACGCTCTATCCACTGAGCCAAACCGGTTTTGGCGATACGCTGGGGTTTTAAATATCAGAATCTTATTTTCTCAAAACAAGCTCCGTGGTGGGCAAGTACTCATCTGCAGCTTTGAGCACTGCTCTGACCAGACACCAAGTGAGATGCTGATCATACACGGGCAGGGGGCAGCTGTGGGGATGTGATAAAGCAGCATCTTCAGTGCTAGCTGCCAACCTCAGTTGTCTGCCTTGAGGCTCCATCTTGGATAACAGGGGTTTCTACTGTTTCCATTTGAGGACCAGGCAGTGGCTGTACTGGGCTGGTTGAAGAGAAGAGGTCACGGTGGTGCTGAGGCAGTGGTTCCATTTCTGGTCCCTGGCTTGTTTCAGGGAACTGGAAAGGGACAGAGGCTTTTCACCCAAGCTTATAGCTGCCCCTTCCCTAGATTGGGGGCTAGAGCTTGCATCCCCTCTGTACCCCCAAGCTCTGACCTCTTCTGTGATTAATGAGCTGACGATTCCACATCGATAAGGAATTAACCTGGAGCCCCCACCCATCAATAGTCAGGAGTCTAGGTCCCCAGCCCCACCCCCACAGACGTAGTGCTCCAGGGTCCCTGAGCAGACCAACGCTGCACTGCTTCACACACCCACAGCCAAGTCCTTTCCCCCATGCTGCCAGGAATTAACCTCTTAACTGCCTGTGTACACCCCCTGTCATCCATCCCTCCCTGCACACACATACACACACCCAGGCAGCAGCTGTTTATATTGGTTTAATCCATGTCAAATGTAGTTTACAAAGGGAAAGGACAAGTACCTTTGTATAGAATATACAGACACAGCATCACACCATGGGCCCACGGGAGGGGCGGGGAGACGACACTCTTCCCTGGGAACAGCAGCTCTAATCCCAGGAATGGTTCTTGGTAGAAGGCTGGGCAGCCAGGAGCACCCTCATCCAGCCCCAATCTCAGCCCCTGCTGTGGCTCGGTTCCCATTTTTGTGCCTTCTCCCCCCCAACTCCTTATAAAGAGCCCCAGGAGCTAAGACTAAGGAGAGGATCATGTCCCTTGGGGCATGTGCCCCAATGTCTGGGAGAAGAAATATACACCACTGAACACCGAGCACATGGGAGAGGGAAGGGACACCATGGGAGAGGGAGAGGCAGGCACCCCAAGAGGTGGATGGGCCGAGCCCCCAGCCAGCCCTGAAGGAGGCACTGCTTCCAGGTGTTCTTAAAAAAAGAAAATCATACAACCAAAGGGGACGGGAGAGGCGAGGGCGGGGAGTTATCCCATTTATACACAACATTGTAAACATACACGTCTATATTACATGTGCTTCAGTCTGGTGTTTGCATGTCTGTCTGTCTGTCTGTCTGTCAGTCGGTCGGTCTGGGGGCTGGATCTCAGGAGCCTTGCCCTGCTACCCACCCCACCTACACCTCCCTGCCCCACCCTGGGAACAGAACCTGGAACAGGTATGGTCCCCAATCCTGGTGGGAGTGTGGCAGGGCCTGGGCCTCTACATCCACTCTGGCTCCAGAGGCCTGTGTGTGTGCGTGCGTGTGTGTACATGTATGTACATGGGGAACCTGTGTGCAAGTATGTACAAGGGTTAGGGTCACATCACAGAGGCGGCAGGTGGGGCTGCTTGAGGCAAGGCCTGCCTGGGGTGGCTAGCTCACAAGTAGATTCTCCGCAGGTCTCCGGGTGCTGTGATGGTGTTGCACTGAGGGCACAGCTTCTTGGCACCCTGCGGGGAGAACAGGGAAGGCTTTGGTTATGCACACAGTGCTGCATGCTTGCTCATGTGAGCACTGGGCTTATACCAGTTGTGTGCTGGCACCTTGGTCCTGTCAGCCAAGGCTGGGAAGCATGGGCAGCCTCTGTGAGCAGGCAGGCACGCTCCTGTGTTGGGGGGATGCCAGGATCAAACCGCCTGGCCAGCCCCGCAGCAGGAGCCCCAGTAATGAGAACAAGGCTGGGTCCAGCTGTGGCTGCCGAGGCCCTAACGAGATTACACACGGCCTTTGATCAGGACACAGAGCCCACGTCCGGGCCTTTTATTGCTGTCTCCGGGCGACATTTTAATGGCTGCTCCCGAGCGAAGAACAGGGGCAGGAGCAGAGGGAGCTTAGTAATGGGAGGGGGAGGGGCTGAGGCCCTGGTCCTGCTTACCCACACCCAGCCGCCTCCTGACCCAGGATCTCACCAATATGTGTGACACAGTGGGCCTTCCCTTCTGGGGGGTGAGGGCAGAGGAAGGGAGCAAGAAGTGACCCCACAGAGCGGGGAGGCGAGAATGTGGTGAGCTTGGGAGGGGGCGGGGATCCTGGCTTATGGCTGTGTTCTATGCTCCTGCTCCCCCTCGCCCCTCCTCATTCCTCTCTCAAAGCAGGCTCAAGCATAAGCAAGGACATCTGAGCAGTACCCCAAAACAACCACCCACCCCCCAACCCCCATGCCACCTCACCAGGGTCCGCAGCCAGCACTCCTCGCAGTGCACATGCCAACACTGGATGGACGTTAGGGGCATCGAGTATGAGTCCTAGGGAGGAGGTGGGCAGAGAAGGGATCACACTGAGGTTGGCCCACCCTCTAAAGAGGTCAGATGACAGTGCAGAGACCCTCTCCAAACCCTAGGGGGCACTGAAGCCTGACCAAGGGCACCCATAGGTCCCCTTCCTCTCACCATGCAGATGAGGCATTTGTAGCGGTCCCCACGGGATAGCTGCCGTTCAAGTTCCCTGACCCGAGCCTTCAGGGCCTCAAATGTGGTCACAGCTGAATCTTCGGTTATTCTGTAAAGAAGACAGCATTCGTTGGGCAGACTGCAGGCTGGCATCCTTAATCTAAACCTTCAATCCACACCCTTGAATTCCAGAACCACAAATACAAGTAGCTCCCAGATGCCCCTGCTCATATCCTATATCAGCGAACTCCACATTCCAGACCGAACCCCTCACCCTCCTTGTTCCTCCATCTCCATCCTGCTGAATTTCTAAACCAGATATCTGGGAACCATTCTCAAACGATTCCTTCCTGAAACCATCCTTTTTACCTCTGACATTCACTTGATCTTAGCCAAAAGGCTGAGAAGCGATCCCCCTGATCCAAAATCAGTCATCTGGTCCCTAAAACTCTGGAGTTTCCTCACTTCTTCCTGCCTCTGCCATCACTCATCCA